GTCAGAAATATTTCGTTGATAATATAACTTTTCTTATGATTTTTTTCCATCGAAAATATAAATTTTCTGAAAAATTTATATTCGTCGAAAATATAAATTTTCCTATAGATTTATATCTGTAAGAAATTACCGACAAATATATCTGTCAGAAATAAATGTTTTTTGACAGATTTGTATCCGTTAAAATTTATCCATCGAAAATATAAATTTGTTTGACAAACTTGTATCTGTAAAAAATTATCCGTCGGTAAAAACAATCGAAAATATAAAGAATTTGAAATTCAAACATTTGAGAAATTTCTTAAAATTAAAGAATTTTAATTTCTTCCAAGAAAGTAAATTTTTTTAAATTCTTCTTTCTCTTTTTTCTCCTACCTCCCTATTCTCTCTTTAAAAATTGACATAAAAAAATAGAAAAAGTTTTTTTTTATATAATTATTGAATATTCAAAATTATTTTTTAAATTATGTAATATTCTGTAATATTATTTTTAAAAATAATAGTAAATATTTATAAATTGTCTAATATTTAATTTTGTAAAATTAAATCTTAAAATTTCAATACACACATTGTTTAAATTTAATTTTACTCATTGTGAAAATTAAATTGGCTTATCCAAGCTAAGAATTTAAATTTTAAAACATTTGAATTGACTAGTTCAAACAAGACATTTAAAAAATTATGAAAATTAAAATCAAAATAATTTAAATTCTAAGAATTTCATGTTCTATGAATTTTTAAAATTTTTCATCCAAACACATGGTACAGATGCATAATTTAAAATTCTCCAAAAAAAAAATGTAAAAATTTAAAATTCTTCTTTCTCTTTTATTCTCTTATATTCATCTTCACTCATTCAAAGTTGGCATAGAAAATATTTATTAGTTTTTAAAATAATAAATATTATGCAATAGTAATTTTTAAAATTATTAGCTTTATAAAATTAATGTTTATAAAAATTTACTAATGTTTAGTTTTATAAAATTTAATTTTAAGGATTTAGTTTTATCCATAATGAAAATTAAATTATTCTATCCAAACTTAAAATTTAATATTTTAAAATTTTTACTTGACTTATTCAAATAAAATATTTTTAAAAAGATGAAAATTAAAATTAAAATAATTTAAATTATAAAATTTTTAATTTCTAAAATTATTTATCCAAACATAAAAATGGAATTGTGCCGGAATTTTCTTTTAGCTTTTGTATTAAATAATAGTGGCTACTATTAATACGTAATATATGGAATCATTCACAAATAATATGTTGCCAGCCTAGAATAATAAATACCCTAGTACTTTACAGAAATTACGTATTCACAAATAATTGCTTTTTAATTACGTATTAATGGCTGCAGAAGATTCTTTAATGAAAATTACTTTAAATGTATATTATATTAACGTGAATTCGTCTTTTAATTCACATATTTATCTCTACTTATATAAAGTAGGGTTCTTGTGGGGAGTTTTTCTCGGAAAAAAAAATGTTTAAATCATGTTTTATTTATTTATTTTATCAACTAAATAAAAATACATAATTATGCTAGATAAGATAAATATAACAATTATATATCATAGTATATATAAAAGTATGGTGCTACAGTAATTTTTCCGGCCGACTGAAAATAAGGGTAGGTGAGTCATTAAAATTTGTAGGCTATTCAATGTATTTTTTTTATTATTAATGAAGAAAGAGATATATTAAATTAGTAAGTACAAAAACTCATTCAATTCATAAGTCAAAAAGGGTAAAAATAAGGGTAGGTGAGTCTATCTAACTAGGTATAGCATTGTAACTTAGCCCCGTAGGTACTCGTTCGAATTACATCAATTTGGATAGGAAAAATTTATATTGACTCAGTTTGGATTCGGGTTCAGATTTTTTTTTATTGGTAAAATTGGAGATCGGAATGTTAATATCTGTCCCGTCTCCATACCCACCCCGTTCCTGCCTCGCTTAATAATATAATTAAAAAAGTATCCATATATATATATATATATATATATATCAGAATTAGAAATCTTTATATGCAAAAAATTTGTATTATTTTTTTAAATTTTTTTTCATATTTATTAGAAATAAAAAAAAAAAAAAAAAA